AGGAGAAAAGGGAAAAGGAAAGGAAAGAAAAGGAAGGGACGGGGAGGGATGAGAAGAGAAGAACAAGGAAATGGAAAGGAAAAGAAAACAGGAAAGAGTAAGAAAAGGAAATGAAAAAGAGAGGGATGGGAAGGGAATAAAAAGGAAATCTTATTTTCTAATGAACTCCTACAGACCAGTCAGGACTGGAGCTGCAACCCCAGGACTTTATCCTCCTGCTCACTCCTACCTCCATAAACTTTGGCTGTGAACTTGCCGAGCCCAACTTGCAAGTCTGTGTGGTCTACTCCTGTCTCTGTCGCCTAAGGGAAGTCATACCATGCCCAGACTTCCGGCAACCTTCTGTTCTGGATTGGGGTCCCCACTTTTGCCCCTTACCGCAGCCCTCCTTACTTCTTTCATTCCCCACTTCCATCCCTTATACTTTGCTTTCCAGCACGGCTGGGCAGTAGGCAGTACTCCTGTACCAGGCTTAGGCCCCCCGCTGGCCCAATGTGGCCATGCTTCATGGCCAGCCTGTCTTACCATTCCACCACCTATGCAGCTTTCTGTCAACGTTCCAAAGTGATGCCCCATCACCAACCCCTTAACACGAGTGTCCACCTTGGTCGGATTTCATGCAAATGTTTATCCTGTTGGATCTCCTGAAAGGTCCTTTGAGGTGGTACAGTAGATGGGGGGGGGGGGGACTGCTAGGTAGGCTGTACAGGGCTCTATCATGTCCAAATGGTGGACACACAGGTAGAAGTGTCACTGCGCTCTAAGCTGGCCACCAGCAGTTTCCCTCAGGAAAATCTGACTGCAGCATTCCATTCAGCCCTCAGACTAAACCCAAGAACAAAAATGTAATATATTGCAGTTTACCACTCCTTAGATATGGTGGCTGTATTTGGTTTTCCTGTATCTTGTGGCAATAACACACTTCCTATCCTAGAGTGACAACGCTTGCTCATAGTACTGTGCAGTGGAGCAGCGTTGTCACCCTAAGACAGGATGTATGTGAGGTCTTACAAACATCTGCCCCTCTCTTCTCCATAACATAGGAAAGAAGTGTTCTGCAGTGTAACTGATAAAAGCGCAGAATAGGAAGATATCAGCTAATATTTCTGGCAGGATCAACGGGTAATGTTTGGTTATCAAACAAATCAAACACTTTTAATGGTATTTAACAAACCAAACAGGAACACATAGAAGTTCATTGTTGGGGTTTACATATACATTGAAGAGCAATGAAGTGAATTTGGGGTGGCGAAGAAATTGATCGGGGGACGACCTCTGGGGCAGGGCTCTGTTTCAGATGTGAATGCTGTCCCCTTGGTTCCCATATCACTGATCAAAAGGTTCAGTGCTTTAAAACTCAAATTTCTCCTGTAAAAAAGGAAAACACACTACTACGGTGACATTGCACCACCAACATATAGCTGTCACCCTCTATGTCAGGGCACTACTGAGGTGCCCATGTGTCATTATGTGAAGGTTAGGAACTTCGGCCAGTACCCTGCGTGGGCATGCGTGTTTGCGTTGTGCAGATATCTGTGGGCTTGGCTCCTGGCTTCCCCATCATCTCCAACTATACTGTTCACCTAGACGTGGCCTTGGCTTGGCTTCTGGCTTCCCCATCATCTCCAACTATACTGTTCACCTAGATGTGACTTTGGCTTCTGGCTTCCCCATCATCTCCAACTATACTGTTCACCTAGATGAGGCCATGGCTTGGCTCCTGGCTTCCCCATCATCTCCAGCTATACTGTTCACCTAGATGTGACCCTGGCTTGGCTCCTGGCTTCCCCATCATCTCCAACTATACTGTTCAACTAGATGTGACCTTGGCTCCTGGCTTCTGGCTTCCCCATCATCTCCAACTATACTTTCACCTAGATGTGACCTTGGCTTGGCTTATGGCTTCCCCATCATCTCCAACTATACTGTTCACCTAGATGTGACCTTGGCTTGGCTCCTGGCTTCCCCATCATCTCCAACTATACTGTTCACCTAGATGAGGCCTTGGCTTGGCTTCTGGCTTCCCCATCATCTCCAACTATACTGTTCACCTAGATGAGGCCTTGGCTTGGCTTCTGGCTTCCCCATCATCTCCAACTATACTGTTCAACTAGATGTGACCTTGGCTCCTGGCTTCTGGCTTCCCCATCATCTCCAACTATACTGTTCACCTAGATGTGACCTTGGCTTGGCTTATGGCTTCCCCATCATCTCCAACTATACTGTTCACCTAGATGTGACCTTGGCTTGGCTCCTGGCTTCCCCATCATCTCCAACTATACTGTTCACCTAGATGTGACCTTGGCTTGGCTTCTGGCTTCCACATCATATCCAACTATACTGTTCACCTAGATGTGACCTTGGCTTGGCTTCTGGCTTCCCCATCATCTCCAACTATACTGTTCACCTAGATGTGGCCTTGGCTTGGCTCCTGGCTTCCTCATCATCTCCAACTATACTGTTCACCTAGATGAGGCCTTGGCTTGGCTTCTGGCTTCCCCGTCATCTCCAACTATACTGTTCACCTAGATGTGACCTTGACTTGGCTCCTGGCTTCCCCATCATCTCCAACTATACTGTTCACCTAGATGTGGCCTTGGCTTGGCTCCTGGCTTCCCCATCATCTCCAACTATGCTGTTCCCCTAAATGTGACCTTGACTTGGCTCCTGGCTTCCCCATTATCTCCAACTATGCTGTTCACCTAGATGTGACCTTGGCTAGGCTTCTGGCTTCCCCATCATCTCCAAATATACTGTTCACCTAGATGTAGCTTTGGTTTGGCTTGGCTTCTGGCGTCCTCATCATCTCCAACTATACTGTTCACCTAGATGTGGCCTTGGTTTGGCTTGGCTTGGCTCCTGGCTTCCCCATTATCTCCAACTATACTATTCACCTAGGTGTGACCTTGACTAGCATCATACTACCATGGGAGAAACACCTATCATCTGCTGTCCCTCTCTGTGACTTCTTTGAGGCTCCCATCTGCTGGCCATAGGCAACCCTTGCTGACTACCTCCAGGAGCAGCCATCATCCATCTGGACCTTCAGCGCCCATTCCACTTTGTGCCTTGCATGTCGTGCCACCATATCTAGGGGTGTTTGGACCAGAGGTTTCAGGGGAAGCCCTCTTGCCACTTTGGCCCTGTAACCAGGTATGTGACACTCTAACTGTGGAATGAACCTTCTTCCTCGCTTAGCCCTGTCTGGAAGTAGTAAATTGAATTAGTAGTCGAAGTAGAAACCAGACTTTCCTTTCATTTCCTACAACCATCCCATCTACTGGTCTGCACAGTTTGGATGAAGATGGCGGATATCTAACCAGCCCACCATTCCCAGTGCAAGACGGCCCATCCATGGCCACCCCAGTTCTTATCTAATTTCTCAGGGCACGCTGTGGTGTCACCCTGACCTGCTTCACAGCCAATTACTCGATCCTTTAGTAAACACATAGATCCCGCTGATTGTTTTCCCTAACTCGATAAGGGAGCAGCACATATTATTATTCTCGATCTGCGGTAATTGCTACAGTGCAATTAGCAATTTGCAAATGGCTGCATGGTCGCGGCTTGGCACCTGTAATGCTTGTGTACAGAGACCCACGGTGAAATTGTACATTTCAGCATTAAATTACCAAAGATTTGTGCTCCTAATTGACTTCTTTCATTTCACCGGCTTCTGTAACGGTTATTAGCTGCTTGGGAAGCGGTGGAGCTGCCAAGCGAGACGGTAACTTCTAAAGGATAAGTACAGGTTGTCTACAGGGTTCAACTGCATTGGTACATAGACTGTACAGTACAGTACACACACGAGGCAACACCACAGTACAGACAGTAAATGGTGATTGGATGGGCTGCGTTCTCAGTGATGTCATCGCTCTCTAGTGATTGGATAGGCTGCGTTCTCAGTGATGTCACCGCTCTCTAGTGAAGGGATAGGCTGCATTCTCAGTGATGTCACCGCTCTCTAGTGAATGGATAGGCTGCATTCTCAGTGATGTCACCGCTCTCTAGTGAAGGGATAGGCTGCGTTCTCAGTGATGTCACCGCTCTCTAGTGAATGGATGGGCTACGTTCTCAGTGATGTCACCGCTCTCTAGTGAATGGATGGGCTACGTTCTCAGTGATGTCACCGCTCTCTAGTGAATGGATGGGCTACGTTCTCAGTGATGTCACCGCTCTCTAGTGAATGGATGGGCTACGCTACAGTGATGTCACCGCTCTCTAGTGAAGTGATGCATTCTCAGTGATGTCACCGCTCTCTAGTGAATGGATAGGCTGCGTTCTCAGTGATGTCACCGCTCTCTAGTGAATGGATAGGCTGCGTTCTCAGTGATGTCACCGCTCTCTAGTGAAGGGATAGGCTGCGTTCTCAGTGATGTCACCGCTCTCTAGTGAAGGGATAGGCTGCGTTCTCAGTGATGTCACCGCTCTCTAGTGAATGGATAGGCTGCATTCTCAGTGATGTCACCGCTCTCTAGTGAATGGATAGGCTGCATTCTCAGTGATGTCACGCTCTCTAGTGAATGGATAGGCTGCATTCTCGGTGATGTCACCACTCTCTAGTGAATGGATAGGCTGCATTCTCAGTGATGTCACCGCTCTCTAGTGAATGGATAGGCTGCCTTCTCAGTGATGTCACCGCTCTCTAGTGAAGGGATAGGCTACATTCACAGTGATGTCACCTCTATCTAGTGAGCGGATAGGCTGCGTTCTCAGTGATGTCACTACTCTCTAGTGAAGGGATAGGCTGCATTCTCAGTGATGTCACCGCTCTCTAGTGAAGGGATAGGCTGCCTTCTCAGTGATGTCACCGCTCTCTAGTGAATGGATAGGCTACATTCTTGGATAACTAGCATTTTCAGAAGAAGCGGTCAGTAGAGGAGGCCTCCATACACTCTATACAGATTTCCTTTAATATCATACTTGTTATGGGATTGAGTTTAATTCGACTATAAAAAGGGCACAGAGGTATGAGAAGGACCCAGATACTCAATACTCACATAATGAAGAACTTTAATTTGCAGCGATGCCGCATCCAGGTCATACAGCTCCCCTGTGAAAAGACAAAATAGTGCTGTGTAAGTATAGGGCGGCCATACCATATTTCACTGGGACTACAGATGGGGGTGAACGGTAGAGTTGGAGATGATGGGATAGCCAGGAGCAAAGCCATGCTCACATCTAGGTGAACAGTATAGTTGGAGATGATGGGGAAGCCAGGAGCCAAGCCAATGCCTCATCTAGGTGAACAGTATAGTTGGAGATGATGGGGAAGTCAGGAGCGAACCCAAGGTCACAGCTTGGTGAACAGTATAGTTGGAAATGATAGGGATCCCAGGAGCCAAGCCATGGTCACATATATGTGAACAACATAGTTGGACATGATGGGGAAGCCAGGAGCCACGCCAAGGTCACATCTAGGTGAAAATTATAGTTTGAGATGATGGGGAAGCCAGGACCCAAGATATGGTCACATCTAGGTGAACAATATAGTTGGAGATGATGGGGAAGCCAGGAGCCAAGCCATGGTCACATCTAGGTGAACAATATAGTTGGAGATGATGGGGAAGCCAGGAGCCACGCCAAGGTCACATCTAAGTGAGCAGCATAGTTGGAGATGATAGGGATGCCTGGAGCCAAGCCATGGTCACATCTAGGTGAATAGCACAGTTGTAGATGATAGGGAAGCCAGGAGCCAAGCCAATGCCTCATCTAGGTGAACAGTATAGTTGTAGATGATAGGGAAGCCAGGAGCCAAGCCATGGAGCCACATTTAGGTGAACAGCACAGTTTGATAGGGAATGAGCCAAGCCATGGTCACATCTAGGTGAACGGCATAGTTGGAGATGATGATGCTAGGAGCCAGGCAAAGTCACATCTAGGTGAACAGCATAGTTGGAGATGATAAGGATGCCAGGAGCCAAGCCATGGTCACATCTAGGTGAACAGCATAGTTGGAGTGAAGTGATGCTAGGAGCCATATAGTCACATCTGGAGACAGCATAGTTGGAGATGATAGTGATGCTAGAGCCAGGCAATAGTCACATCTAGGTGAACAGCATAGTCACATGATAGTGATGCTAGGAGCCAGGCAATAGTCACATCTAGGTGAACAGCATAGTTGGATGATAAGGATGCCAGGAGCCAAGCCATGGTCACATCTAGGTGAACAACAGCACAGTTGGAGATGATGGGAAAGCCTTAACCCTTCTCTACTCTACCCTAAACTAAAAAAAATGTCTGTACCTTTAAATATTTGCTAAGACAGATAATCAAATACTTCTTGCTGCACCGATGGGGATCTGTGACCAATGACCAGCCTGAGGTCTGACTCCAGCCCTTCTGTACTGGAAACTTCACTGTTTAGTTATCCATAGCAGCCCCTAATGGGGCCCCCTCCTACCCCAGGCCCCACAGCAGAAGCCTGGACAGCTATAGCTATTGCCATGTCAACTGTTTGTATCCCAGTAACAATTTACCAAAACCATTCCAAGTACATTGCTATTCTTTTGTATCCATTGTGAAAGCCGAGGGTAATACGGCCATCAATATTTTTCTTTCTAACGAGCAAAATAGTAATAGTTATGGATGGAACAGTTAAAGCTGGAGGCTGGGAAGGGAAATCGCTGGCTGGATTCTTGGATCTATTGGGCATTCGGTACAATCAATACACAAAACTATAAAGGTCTGTCTTTTTATTTCTGTGAACTTGCATCTACATTGAAATTGAGGTCCCTAATCCTTACCCAGAACTTGCTTTTGAGCCCACGTGTAGCCACAGGATTGAGACCTGTGAGATTCCACATGCAACTCCACGGAAAAGGTCGGTTTTACCTTGACTGTGTTACAATAAAGGAGATCTCTCTGACATTACAAGAGACTGTCATGTGTCATGAAAGAGCCTGCTACCATGGTACAAGAGACTGTCATGAAAGAGCCTTCTACCATGGTACAAGAGACTGTCATGAAAGAGCCTTCTACCATGGTACAAGAGACTGTCATGAAAGAGCCTGCTACCATGGTACAAGAGACTGTCATGAAAGAGCCTGCTACCATGGTACAAGAGACTGTCATGAAAGAGCCTTCTACCATGGTACAAGAGACTGTCATGAAAGAGCCTGCTACCATGGTACAAGAGACTGTCATGAAAGAGCCTTCTACCATGGTACAAGAGACTGTCATGAAAGAGCCTTCTACCATGGTACAAGAGACTGTCATGAAAGAGCCTGCTACCATGGTACAAGAGACTGTCATGAAAGAGCCTGCTACCATGGTACAAGAGACTGTCATGAAAGAGCCTTCTACCATGGTACAAGAGACTGTCATGAAAGAGCCTGCTACCATGGTACAAGAGACTGTCATGAAAGAGCCTGCTACCATGGTACAAGAGACTGTCATGAAAGAGCCTTCTACCATGGTACAAGAGACTGTCATGAAAGAGCCTGCTACCATGGTACAAGAGACTGTCATGAAAGAGCCTTCTACCATGGTACAAGAGACTGTCATGAAAGAGCCTGCTACCATGGTACAAGAGACTGTCATGAAAGAGCCTGCTACCATGGTACAAGAGACTGTCATGAAAGAGCCTTCTACCATGGTACAAGAGACTGTGATCATCAGTGGGCTTTGTACAGCCTACTTGACAACCCTCCCCCGCATGGTCTGGTACGTGGGATAGGCTGCATTCTCAGTGTTGTCGCCACTCTCTAGTGAAGGGATAGGCTTTATTTTCAGTGATGTCACCGCTCTCTAGTGAATGGATAGGCTACATTCTTAGTGATGTCACCGCTCTCTAGTGAATGGATAGGCTGCCTTCTGTGATGTCACCACTCTCTAGTGAATGGATAGGCTGCGTTCTGAGTGATGTCACCGCTCTCTAGTAAATGGATAGGCTGCATTCTCAGTGATGTCACCACTCTCTAGTGAATGGATATGCTGCGTTCTGAGTGATGTCACCGCTCTCTAGTAAATGGATAGGCTGCGTTCTCAGTGATGTCACCGCTCTCTAGTAAATGGATAGGCTGCGTTCTCAGTGATGTCACTGCTCTCTAGTGAATGGATAGGTAGCATTCTCAGTGATGTCATCGCTCTCTAGTGAATGGATAGGCTGCGTTCTCAGTGATGTCACTGCTCTCTAGTGAAAGGATAGGCTGCGTTCTCAGTGATGTCACCGCTCTCTAGTGAATGGATAGGCTGCGTTCTGAGTGATGTCACCGCTCTCTAGTAAATGGATAGGCTGCTGTCAGGAATGGACTGGCCAGCAATGGTGGGACTCACCTGCCTTTTGATCTGCAGTACCAGGGCTGGCCAGCGGGTGCTCCCAGCAATCAGAGACTCAACCTTTCAGCCAGCTAACACCTGGAACTGATGATACTGGTGTATTTAAGGGATGGCCAGACTTGCAGACTCTGCCTTGGTGTTGTGTTTGTCCTGGGCCCTGTATCTGTCCTGCATCCTGTTTCTGTTCCTTTGCTGACCCTGCCTGATCTGAACCGCTGCTGACTTCTCCTGCTCTGATCCCGGCTCGCTCCTGACCATCCCTCTGCCTGACCCTCTGTACCACGCTGCTTGCTACCTGTTCTGATCCCTGGCTTGTGACCCTGACCATCCCTCTGCCTGACCCTCTGTACTACGCTGCTAGCTACCTGCTGAACCTGGCCTGTGACCCCGACCCATCTCCGCTTGCTCCCCCTGTACCTACCTGCCCTATTGATATTGACCCGGCCTGCCTGACGACGCTTGCTTGTATGTACTGTTATCTGTAGGTGGTTGGTTTGGTTTGTTTGCACTGTATTATGTTTTAGTATTGCACTGCGTTTATGTTTGTATGGTTAGTGTTAATAAATTATATTGTTTATCACATATCTGAAGTCTGCGTTTCCCTGCGTCAGTCACACACCTCTGGTCACACCTGGGAGCCCTGACAGCTGCATTCTCGGGAGTCACCGCTCCCTGACAGCTGCGTTCTCAGTTCTCACAGCTCGATAGGTCACCAGTGATGTCATCGCTCTCTAGTGAATGGATACCGCTCCAACACCGCCTAAATGGATACTGCACTATCTCCTAGTGAATGGATAGTAGCAGTGGACAGGAGGTGTATTGAATGGATGTCCCAGTGATGGTCCATGGATTGGTCTATCACCGCTCAAGTGTATACCGCTCCCAACACAACCCCGGTTTCAGGAGTTTTATGTCCCCTGGTCAACTTGGTCTATCAAGACCAACCGGTTTCAGTTTGTTCTGTATCTGACCATGTTCTTTCTGACGTCAACGAGTGGCCCGCCAGCTCTTTCTGGTTCAGTGAGCAGGCCTACCAATGGTTCAGCGCCAAGGGGATAAGCTGGTATCTGCAGAATTCATATTCTCCTCCATCCAGCTGAGATCCTCTCATGCCCGGCCACAGCTCTGTCCCATGCCGCCATGTTCTTTCTGATGTCAACGAGTGGCCCACCAGCTCTTTCTGGTTCAGTGGGCAGGCCTACCAATGGTTCAGCGCCAAGGGGATAAGGTGGTATCTGCAGAATTCAGATACTCCTCCATCCAGTGGATCCAGAGTTGTCCCGCTGAGATCCTCTCATGCCTGGCCACAGCTCTCTCCTGTGCCGCCATGTTCTTACTGACATCAACGAGTGGCCCGCCAGCTCTTTCTAGTTCAGTGGGCAGGCCTACCAATGGTGCACCAATAGGCCCGCCCTCGTCTCCTTTCCTCTGTTGGAAGGCTTTGCCTCTTGGGATATGTCACGTGCATATCCCAGGAGGCACAGCTGGCAGTGTGCACATCATCCAAAGCAAATGACGTACATGGGGAGTTGGGACCTGGACTTTATTACTAAAAAAAGGTAAAAAAAAGAAGAAAAAAAACAGCGTGATACCTGTTGAATGGAAGAGAGGAGGGTGGAGTGAAGGGAGGTATTTCTCTACTTCACAGTGTAGGGTGCCATGGTGACACCCCCTCAGGATATGACTTCATGACTGGCTTGTACAGAAAGACATCAGCATTCCTTCCTTTCAGGGCCTCCTGATGGAAATATGAACATATACCTTCGGTACTGG